AACAATAAAACAACTGGAAATAATCTAAATGTCTATCAACAGAAGGGAGAATAAGGATGATACAAATGTAATACTGCACTGTAGTGAAAACGAATGAAACAGATCTAAACATTTTCAAAATGAATGAACCTCACTAGCAAAATAAACAAAAAATTACTAACCCAAGAATATATGTTATTCATAAAATGTTTAAAATATCCAAAACAGGACTTCCCTGGTGGTCTAGTGGTTAAGACTGTCGCTTCCACCGCAGGGGGCAGGGGTTCAACCCCTGGTCGGGGAAGTTCCACATGCCGCGCAGTGCGGCCAGAAAGGTTAAAAAAAAAATTCCAGAATATTACACATACCGCTGAAGATTACACATGTATGTATGAAAGTATAAAGACAGACCTGCAGGGGGATGATAAACACCAAGGCCAGGAAGGTGGTTATCTATGGAAGGCGGCGGGTTGTTCCATATCTTAACTGGAGTGTTACATACATAGGTGTTCATTATCATTACACTTCCGCTTTTCCGGATGTCTAGAATGTTCCACAATTTTAAAAAAGAGCAAGGAGTGAAACAGTGTAATGTGTGTTTGTGTTAAAAAGAAAAACAGAAGGGGAAATCATACACACAGCCACCTATAGGTAGCTCCGGAAGGCTCCTAAAGGAGCTGGTACCAGGCTGCCTCTGGGAAAGGCCCAGGGGACAGTGGTGGGAGGGAAACATACTTTTTACTCTATGCACTATTACACTGATGGAATTTGTTTACTGTGTGCAGTTATTATCTGAACAGTTCACCGCCACTGAGGGATGGGGAAACCAGACTGGGGCGGGGAGTGGAGAACAGACTTACCCCAGGTACCATGGTTAGGGACAACCAGCCTAGAATCTGAGTAGTCAGGTTACCAGGAACCAGCCCTGATCTGCTGGGCTGTTCTGTTAAAAACTGATGTATAAACCAAGAGTTTGGCTGCCTAGCCCAATTCTTTCCCACCTCCCTCCTAATGGCTGACTACCTACCCTAGTCTGTTTTCTGATCTGGTAATTATGTCCAACATAACATATTTACAAGTCAATTTAATTTTGTTTGTTGTTAAAGTTACAACATCCCATGAAATGAAAGAAGGCAGGAGACATCACAAAATCAAGGGCAGAGACTGACTTTGTTCTTGTGCTGGTGGGACAAGGACATTAACAAACATGGTATTGTTTTTTGGGGGTTTAACAACAAACCCTATAGTACTTATTTACCTAAGCCTTGTCATACAGTAAGTTATTAAAGCATCACCACATCACTACATTATTAATCCCATTGTACAGATGAGGAAGCACAGTTTAAGAAAATTGCCCAAGGTCAGTCAACGATGTGATAAACTTCCATTCTACAGTATCATCTCACTCCCATCATAAAGAATTATTAGTTCCACAAGAAAACATGGAATTTTGACAGGTTATTTTTCAGTGCATAGACCATTACCCAAGGCCATAATTCAGGTTATTTTCTGGAACTTCACGGAACAAAAGTAAAGCAATGAGTGCTTTCGCCAACAAACTGTTCATCCCAATCACTATATTTACCATCAGTTTTAAAATGATTTAAAAAAACAAGAACAGGGCTTCCCTGGTGGCGCAGTGGTTGAGAGTCCGCCTGCCCATGCAGGGGACATGGGTTCGTGCCCCGGTCCGGGAAGATCCCACATGCCGCGGAGCGGCTGCGCCTGTGAGCCGTGGCCGCTGAGCCTGCGCGTCCGGAGCCTGTGCTCCGCTATGGGAGAAGCCACAACAGTGAGAGGCCCGCGTACCGCAAAAAAAAAAAAAAAAAAAAAAAAAAAAAAAAGAACAACAAACAAAACAGGCAGGGCAGGAAAATCCAGACCCTCCTTCCAGGAGGCAGAACCAAATTAACTGGTGCCGGAAGCAAGGCTGAGGGTGACCTAGAATGCCCATGCTAGAAGACTGCTTCCAGAAGCTGCAGTGCACACTTGCCCAAGTGGCATGGTCTTGGCCCTGAGAGCTTCCCATGCCTATTAGGTGCTTTTCGCAGCCGGCAACACCCTGTCGCCCTTCCTTGTCCCCATTCAGTTAAGCCACAGCCCAGCCATTCCAGCTTCAGAGCCCAAGAAAATGGAGGAGCAAGTTCTCCTTCCCCATCTAGAAAAATCCTGACCACCTGATCTAATACGCTTCAACTGTCGTAGGAGGTATTGGATACACCTTGTTAAATGCAATTAAACCACTTACCAAATCCTTGTTATTTTCAGAGTAAAGCTGATTATTGACTAAAAATTGATGAACAGGGGAATTATCCAAATTCCTGGCAGGTGAGAACTGGAGTTGTTGACATTCAGCAGGCTGTGCTATAAGTTCACGTCTTGCATCTTAATAAAAATAAGCTATCAAATGAATATATATATTTGTACATAATACATTCTAGCATCCCTAGAGAGCTACCTGCCTCAGTGGCGGGTAAACACTATTCAGCTGGTTAGCCTCTACACAAGTGGCAGTAACAGGGGCAGCTAAGTTTCAGGGAATATGTACCATATCCCAGGCACCAAGCCACTTGTTTTATACTTACCACCTCATTAACACTGGGCCTGCCTTTTTCCACTAGAGGAATCACCCAACAGTATGTCCTTACTATATGATCCCATTTATAAAAAGCTCAAAAACAGTAATTAGGTTTTTACATTTACAGTGCTAGAAGCTAACAAAGTGGTTTCCTTTGGGGCAAGTTAGATAGGGTGAGTGGATGGGGAGGCACAGGGGCTTCTGGATGCTACTCCTTTACCTTGGGGGCTGCTTACAGTGGGCTTGTTCACTCTGCAGTAATACCTCAATTTGTACACTTAAAAGGTGCATGTTTTCTGTATGTAAATTACAGCCCAATAAGTGTGTAAAGTTAAGCGCTTGGTGTTGATGGAAGGATAAAGAGCGAGCACTATCAGAAGTCCTGGGTTCCGATTCTGACTTCCCCAGTAAATGGCCTACGATTTGGGGGAGTCATTTCTGGGGGGCCTCAGTGTCTTCACTCCTAAGAGGTTAGAGGAGATACTCTCCAATTCTCTCAGTATACCATCACTGCCATTTCTCATCCAGGTGGAGAAAAAGGAGGGGCAACTGGATGAGTAGGAAAATAACTCAGGAGCAAAAGTCTCTACCACCAGGACATCATTAAAACACAAAGCATAACGCCTCTCCAGATTCAGGATGACACTCTGGCGCCACACTGGAACAGCAAGTTCTAAGCTCTCAGGGAGCAGACGATGGCTGCCGTCACTAGGCACCTTCATTAACAAGCTCACTATCGATATTAAAAATTTTAGGAATACATTTCCAAAAAGCTACACTGGGGCCAGAGCTGTCAAGGCAAGCAGGCATTCATACATTGTGTTCAGAGCATGACCCTGGCATAATCCTAAAGGCTGGGCAGCAAGATTAGAACAAGGCCATTATTACACACTCCTATTTACCCAAGTGTTCACGGAAAAGGGTATCCAGTTTAACTTAACAGTCTGGTTAGCCATACTCCCATATATACCAGAGGAGGATTTTACATTTCCAAACAAACAATTAAGTCCTTTTTGTGTGGGTTGAGTGATTCAGAACTCTTAAGGGTCTCCTGAGGAGTGACTCACTGCCAGTAAGAACAGTTTGATACTGAAAAACAAAAAAATCGTTTTCAATCAGTATAGAAAATTTAGAGACTAGCATTAGTTTATCATACCGACTATGGAATAAAAGCAGTATCAACCTCAGCAAGAAAGTTTCTTTGGTGACTATAAAACCAGGTTGATTGCCTTTCATAATCCACACGTAAAGCAAGTTTAGGAGCTTGGTTTAAGGTTAAGACACATTCGTGGAAGTTGCTGAAAGCTAACAGGAGAAAAACACCTTAAATCTGTCTCACCTATAAATATCTTATTTGATTCCCATCAACTCTGTCATCCATTACATTACTGTCTATTAAAATTTGGATTGCTGCATGAGTTAGAATGGAAGCTAGCCCTTAAATTACAGTTAACTAGAAACAGAAACTGAGGACGGGCCTGAATATCAGGTTTATTGCCCTCAGTGGGCTATTATCTGAAGACATCCAGATTTGGGATCCTCTGTGTATTTAAATTAAAATCTGGCTCCAAGTCAATCAACCTCACTCCTTTCCCTTTACCATGATGATTTAGATGAGGTTAAGACTATGAAGGCAAGAGTTGAGGGTGGAGGGTTGGTCTCGATAACATGGGAAGGGCACGATACCCTTCTAATTCCAGGAAGGCAGTACAGCTGGTTCCCAAGCATTGGCTATATAACCTGCGATGATTTTAACAACCATCAGTACTATTTCAGGACAACTTCTCAGGTACTTGGATTTTCCCCAAAATAAAGGCCACTGCCAAAACCTGCCAATGGCCATGCAAGATGAAATGAGGGCTCCACTGCAAACTCATCAGGACCACAAAAACCCCATATCGTCTTCAAGATGTAGGATCAAGAGTAAATATATATGCAAAGATAAACATCAACAGAGGATACACTTATGTGCTTTCTGCAACTTCAATACTCTTAAAAACTGGGGCAAGTGAGGCCAAGGGCCAAAGTCTGTCCAGAAGTTGGGGCTCCAGTCCATCTCCATGACGTGCGTCCAGCACAAGCACGACACAGCTGCAGGAGGGGTCACCCTACAGGCCCACCCCGAGAGCTGGACCGGCAGCTTAAGGGAGCCCCAGTCCGCCAACTCAGGCCGTGAGGGAGACGCTACTTCCCCGGCCCCGCCCGCCTCGCACACACGCCCGACCCCAGCCCCTAGGCAGCCAGGCTCCCAACCGCCTCCCGCCTCCCGCAGCCCCTCCGCCGCCCAGCAGGTACCCGTCTCTGCGCACGCGCCTGCGCAGTGCGCGCCCCTCACTAATCCCTATGGGGAGCGAAGGGGCGAGGCCCGGTACAGCCCGCTCCGGGTCTAGCGGGCTGCGTCACGCGGGGTCCCCTTCCCCGGGCTGGGGGTCCCAGGGCTTACCCGCGCCCAGGAGGCTGGCCAGAACCAAGAAGGAGTACATGGCGCCTCCTGACTCCGCAGTCTGCAATGCAGAGCGTCAGCTGACCCTCAGCGAATATAAACCTGCCCCGCCCCAAAGCCGCCCACCGCGCAGGCGCAAGCTCTGTCCCGGCCGGGCGGCCCGAATTCTCCCCGCAGCCTGACTCAGCACCGCACAGGGCGCCTGCGCAAAAGGAAGGCTGGGAGGAGGGAGGAATGTGGAGGCCGAAAGGATTGAGCGAGCATGGGAGGAGGATAAGGAGACGGAAGCGAATGGAGAGGTCATCAAAGAATACATAAATGAAGAAGACAACGTTAGGGATTTTACATATATATATATATACATATGTATATATGTATATATATATATATGTATATATATATATATAATATCTTTCAAGCCTCACCTTTTTTCTATGAAGTACCATTTCCTATTATTAGTACCATTTTTCAGTTGAGAATCGGTACTCAAAAAGGTTATCTACTTTTTCTAAGCTCTCACAGTCAAAACTCAAACTCACCACTTGACACACGCTGTCTCTTAAATGACGTTCGTAGTATTTTCGTGGCTGGTCCAGAGTGTAACTTCATTCTGGGTCCTGACTTTCTCTCTTAACATTTCATATCCACAATCCCTTCTCCCCATGACTCACAGACAGGTTTTTCAATGTTAGATATGTAGGGTTTCGGAACAGGTCTCTGAGATGTGGTACTTTGGCATGTGGATTCTTTTGGCTAAAGGCAATGGAGAGCCTGTGGGCTCAAGAGAAATTACTGCCTCTCCCTTAACTACCTAGAAGAATTTAAATTGGGGACTTTTCCCAGAAAAGGTGTTATTACCAGGAACAAATTTTATCTAAGTGACCCCATCTGTATGGCAGAGCAGACACCTAATTACGGAAAAATCTGCTCTTCTTATCTGCCTGTGGATGACCCTCCTGTCCTTGGAAGCCCCAGGCCCCTATCCCATTTCTTAGCTCAGCATGGTGTATATACCTCATTTTACCTCTCTGTCTCTGACCCTCTCATGTTTGTGGGGCTCCTGCACATATGAAATTAAATTTTATTTTCTCCTGTTAATCTGTGTTACATCATTTTAATTGTTTGACCAACGAAAAAGAACTAAAGAAGGGAAGGGAAATTTTCCCCTTCCCAAAATATGCAAACACTCCCAAGGCCCTATCATGGTTTGTCCCAGAGCTGCAGGGAGTGGAGGAAAGGGATTGAGAAGCAAGATGGGGGAGGATAGAAAGTGTCTGAGCCATTGGAGAAGGAAACAAAGAGTGAAGCCTGAATTTGAGAATCAGGCTAAAAATCAGCCAGGGGCCTTTATGGAGAAGGAAGCTGCCCCACCCTGCCCAGCCCTCAATCCTCATCTTACTCCAGAATAAGAAAGGCCTGGGTGGCCCACAAAACCACTTGCCTTCTACCTGTGGTTGACCCTCTGGTTCTGAGCAGAGGGATGACCCCAACCTCGCTGTCCTCCAAGGGCCAAGTACCTACAAGCCGAAGGGAAGGAAAGGAAGGAAACCTCAGACTTTCAGGGCAGGCCCTTAAAGGTCATTTAGTCCCATTCCATCATTGTACCAATTGGGAAATTGAGGCCTGGAATGGGAGGGACATTTATCCAAGGTTACACCTGACCAGGGAGGGGCAAACCCAGGGTCCCATCCATCTGTGACAATCTATAATGCTCCCTGAGGAACAGCCCACAGACAGAGGTCTCAGCACCTTTGGCTCAGCTCCTCCACCACCACCCACACAGAGAGGCTTACTTCCCACTGGGGAGCTGGATGGGGAAGTGTGCACCGCAGCGGGTGATGTGAAAGAGCTGAGTAAAGTTGGGACAAGATTTGGTCTAAACTGGATGCCTCACTGGTTGGCTTCAATGGCAAGACAGAGGCTGCATGGCTGCCCCATCTGCAGGCTTCCTAAGTCCAGGCACAGCATGGGGCAGATTACCCCAACAGCCAGATAAATGCAAGGGAGGTGGGGTTCTAGGACACAGCCTGGTTCCCAGCTCCTAGCCAATGAAGGAGGCAAAGCATCCCACGCAGAGGTTACAAGACCCCAAGCCGAAAGGAAACTTGGAGACCTTCGGGTCACAGGCTCTCACTTGACCGGAGTAACTGAGCTCTCAGAGCTACTTAATGACAGAGCCTGAACCCACCACGACTTTTTAATACCCTCCCCCCCAACTAGAGGGATATGTCCGTGTTTCTGAGATGAACTTTTGCTGCCTTTTATTTGCACACCTGGAACACAAGAGTAATATGTTCCTTCATCCACCCCCTTCCCTGTAAGGACAGAATTTTAACAAAGAATATAGAAGCAGTAAGTGGGTTATTATCATTTTTTAGCAAGTCAATCCTCTTTAAATACCTTCCTAACCATCTGTGTGTAGGCAACAAGAGCTATGAATCTATTTGGACCCTTTGGCCCTATAATACCATTCCTAGCTATATACCTCCCCAAAGACATAATCCAGAGCTAAGGACTTTATCCAAAGTGTTCACAGAATAGCCCTTTGTAACAGTAGAAACTGGGAAGACTTCAAATGCTGAACAATGATGGGCTAGTTAAGGAAATGGGCCGGGACAAAACAACGTTACTTGAAGCAGCTTTGAAGCATGAGGCAGAAGCAGCAAGGTGCCCTTCTCTCTCAGAAGTGGCAGGATTTTCAGAAGAGGAACAAAGAACTGGAAGGGAGAAGAGTCTTCTGATTTGAGGTTTACCCGTCATTGCATTATTTCACTCATTGCAATGTCCACGTTTTACTTCATACTTCTTAAAGAAAAAATTATAGGAAAATTTTTAAACGATAAGAAAATCCCCTTCTTTTCCTCCCTCCTATGAGCTCAAGTTTTCAGGGAACTGCAAAGATATTTTTCCTTGGAAATGTGAGCCGTACTGGAGACCCTGGCGGGGTTCTTGATGACTTTCCAGTTCTGGGTCCCAGCTCCTCACGAGGCCCCACTTCTAGTGCCTGAGATCTTGCGAGACTCCCACCTGTCAGATGAATAATTCCCCTTCTGGCCCCAGAGGGCTTCCATCTGTTACTGCTTCTATTGTGCAACTGAAAGAGCACTGGGCGAAGACGGCTGATAGAACAGAGGCCTCCACTGTGAAGGCCCAGCCCACATGCCTGGCCCCAAAGCTCCGCTCTGGCTCTCCCAACAGCCACCCTGGTACCACCCTGGAAGCACCCCCTCCCCCCATAACACACACACACACTGCGTCTCAGAGAAGGAAGCTCAGGTTCCTCTCCGGCCAGCATGTCCCTCATCAAGACCTCCAGCCTCCAGTCTCTCCTGCCTGCATTTGCCTTTCTGCCTAGTCTGGACCCTCAGGCAACCACTCTAGTAAGCCCCTCCCAAGGACCACTCTCCCCCTCAAACTTTAGTCACTCACCTGCCAATTCCTGGCCTCTGCTCTCTTTTCCTCTCTTCCCAGCAGCCCTGGGCTGCTGGAGAAATCAACCATCCCAGCTAGGCTCACAAAGCCCTCTGTGCTACTTGGCTCGTATTTGGCCCTCCCAGGTGGCCGAGTCTCCTATTGTCTCCTAATATCCTTCGCCTCTTTTCCCTTGATCTTGATAATTAGTAATCAAACCCCCTATTTCTGGCTGCGTACATGGCCACCCAGAAAAAGGACTACATTTCACAACCTGCCTTACAGCCATAGGACTTCATTCTGGCCAATGAAATAAAAGAACAAGTGCCCATTTTGTGACTTTAAGGTACTGCTCTTAAAAGGAAGAGACACAGCCAGTGCAAATATTTAACAAATGGTACTGCCAGGACACTGACCATAGTGTTGGGGGAATGTCCTGGAAGGTCCCAACTGAGCCAAGTTGTTGTCTTGGAGGGGTGGGTGGTCCCAGGGGATGAGTAAGCAGGGGGATGGGCACCAGGGAGTCAGCAGCTATTTACCAGCAGGTGGTACAGAGGTGGTTCAATAATTTTACTGCTGAACAACACTACTGATTTGTACCAGCTAAACGTCATCTAAGGCTGCAAACTCTTTTCTTCTTTATGCTGGATTGCAGACATAACGGCAGGAGCTCAAGCATCCATTCTGGGCCATGAGGTAGGAGCCTTGTTAAGGATGACAAAGCAAAAAGACCGTGGATCCCTGATGATTTTATTTGCCCTATATTGTCCACCTCCAGACTATTTATGTAAACACAGCCATATCTTGTTTAAGGTTTCATTATCTTGAGCTTTTGTTACTTTCCAGATCTTCTCAACAATGCTCAAGCCCCGACCTCATCTCTGTCTTCTTCATGCTCATTTCCTACTTTACCTCTTCCCTTCCATCTCTGAGGAGGAAATGCCTTTTCTTCTCTTTGTGTGGCCAAACTGTAGCTGCTAAACTCTCCTGTGCTTTTGTTGATCAGCTCTTGTGACCTCTAGGTCTTTTTATTTTTATTATTCTTTTTATTTTTAGTATTTTTTTATTCTTTTTATTCTTTTTATTTTTAATATGTTTTTTTCCTTTTCTAAAAATTAGAGTATAGTTGATTTACAATATTATATTAGTTTTAGGTGTGTCCATTCTTTTTGTTCGTTCCCCATGCCTTACCAGTTGTTAAATATTTTTATTATCATCCCTCTAGCACTTTGCTCCATCCATTGTCCTTTCCTTTTTCATATCTTCAGTCTCCCCCCTCACCGCTGACTCTTCCCCCTCAGATTATAAATACACACAAGGCTCTCCTATCCTAAAAGAAATCTTCTCACCCCTGACTTTCACTTCAGCTACTTTCTCGTACCTTCCCTTCACTGCCCTGCTCCTTGAAACAGTCACCTACACTCACCATATTTACTACTCTCCCTCCAGACTAACCCTAGCCCAGCCCACAGCTCCACTGAATGGCTTTTTGGAAGTAAATAGTAAATTCCTACTTGGAACGTCCACCAGCACCTTCTCATTCCCTTTAGCCTCTGATACTGTTGGTCTGCTCCTCCTTCCTACAACTCTCCCACTTGGTATCCATGACACAGCACCACTCTGCAGGTTGCTGGACATCCAGCACAGAAGTCCCCATGCCCACTTCCTCACCCATGATAGACATCACTACTAG